TTTCTCTCATCATTGCAGAAGAAACGCGGGACAGCCACTCTGGACAATATGTTTCAAAGTTGTCTGGGCGAAACTCGCATGCCGCTACCGACCTCTCGTATAGCTGTGTAAACGTCTCCCTGGCCAACGTCAATTGCGTACCAGTCTACAACAATCCCTCCGTTTCACCTCTGAACTTTTATGCTCACGTATTTTGGTGGTGTGGTCGCCATGTTGGATCATTTATGGCAAAATTTGCATGTTTTGGGGCAATCTCTTTCCCATAGGTCTTTGCGCTTTACGTAACGCGCATCTAACTGTGCGGAGTTTGGTTTTGAGGTAGTCTAAAACGAGTTTTACGACAAGTCGGCGCTTTGCGACAATATGAGTCGGCAAGTTCCGAACAGAAAACCGATCTGTGGAGACTAGTCGTCGGAGATTTTTTTTTTTTTTTTTTTTTTTTAGAGAACAGGCGAAAACTAATGCGCGCGCGGATGTCATCCATAAAATTAAATCGGTGTAGCCTAATAAAATTTAAAAAAAAAAAGTTCGAAATTTCCTGTGTAATTTCAAGTTTCAGGATACTGCGTAAAATGAAACGTCAACAAGAATAAAATAATGACGTAGCTGCGGAACCGAAACAACACTCGGGCATTGGAACAAAAAAAAACAAAAAAAAAAACGAAAGAAAACGAAACGGAATGCTACACCGTTAAAATATAATCAGTAAAAAAAGGTTTATACGCCAGTCAGTAAGTTTTTCCTTTCAACTGTGTATATAACGACATTGAAAATTTGTCAAAAACGACTGGAATTTATTCAGTAAATTGGTCGTTTCACTAATTACAGTTATTCAGCGGAATAAGTGTCTACACGTGAAACTGTCTAGCGAAGCTTGACCAGTATATTCGCCTTGCATTTATCTATATAACGATTGTAGTTTAATTGTATTTAGTGCCTCGATTACAATAACCTCTGCAGCAAGGGAAAATAAAGTCTTATTTATGAATATATGGGCTATGTAACTATGTTGAAAATGTGACACAAAGTGTGTTTTCCTAGAAGACAGCATGCATACTATGTTATTCAACTGAATAATTGACATTTCCTCTCATTTGGTCAACTAGAATATAACTCAGGTTTATTCAAATTCCACTCTTAGACAAGTTTTTCTAACGTAATTATCGTTGTGTATAATCCTTAAATAAACAGACTTAGAGAACCCCCCCCCCCCCACAACATGCTACAAAATAATAATATTGGGACCACGGTACCAATTATTCGTAAATATCAACCACAGAACCTCTATCTGGAAGAGGGATGTGTATTCACATAGAAAAGAGGCAGAGTGTATGTAAGATATATAAATCTTGAAATAAATTACATTACACAACACAATGACTGAAATGTTCCTGTCAGTAGAGAATTGTCCTCTAAAATGGAGATTATCTCCAAATCAGGAGAATTCACTAGATCGGCTGATTTAATGTAAGTCTTGACCAGGGGGCATCACTCGATACGAAAACATTTTTGACAACCAAGAATGCACAATTTGTGAGGTCCACGCGTATTTAGAACAGCGCACTCAACGTTCATTTTGAGGGTGTGGTACTAATGTTCGAAACATTAATTCACACTTTTTTCATACAGGTGAAATTACGGGATATTCTCTTAATATTTTAAACCTAATATGTACAAACCTCATAAAATTTATTTGGAGATTTGTCAAAATAATGCACTGTAAATTTATACAATTCTCGTTGTTTGGAGCCAATCTCCATGTTCGGGGAAAGTGACGGAGATGTTCACTTTAATAACGAATAAACGCAGACAAAATAGACTACATGTTTCATACGTTATGATACAAAAAGTGTATATTTTTTATTTACACACATTTTGAATACTTAAACGTGGCCCCACTTACCACTAATACATATTGGGGAATACCGAAGTTTCAATCCTCGAGGGCGGACATCCGGGCATTTTCACCGCTTGGCAACCCTGGCGGTGAAAACAAAGGCCAAAAACTCCCTGAAAATGGTACTTTGGGATGGTTGTTGAAACTCCATTGAACAGATTGGCCCTATGTGTGTAACATATATAAATTTGGTTGTTCAGGATTACTTCAAACTTGAGTTTGTGTTGTTTTCTCGAATTTTCACCGGCTCGACCGGCGTTCTACAGCAGCGCGCACAAAGCCCATAGAAATGCATGTACATTAGTGCCATTCTCCGTCGCAGAGACTATGGGTCTTTTATCACCAAGCTAGGTAGTCGCCAGGGAACGTCCCACTAGTCTCTGCCACAGGCTAATTTAAATATTAATGACCGGACCTACATTTTGCTTTGCCATGAGTGCGTTCGCGTCGCTCCGTGAGGGTGCCCCAAACGACGTGGCAGAAAGTTGCTGCAGTTTATGCAGCTCTCTTAGTCGTGGTATACGTTGCGGGCGACCAGAGATGGCCGCAACGTAATATCAAAATAGCTTAAGGTAGCAGAATAGTTTTTTGGGCACTTTTCACATTTTTTTTGAAAATCACACGAATAGCTCCCTAAGGCATGCTACATACATTGGTGTTTTTATTTTATTGAAAAAAAATATCTTGTACAAGTAAACTGATTTTTTTCTAGTGTGCAAACAAATGGCCAAGTTTTTGTTTATCCAGTGTACACCAAACTAGTGCATCTCATTAATATGCATGGTTTACAAACATAACTGAACTGAGGGTAAATAGTTTTAAGTTGGGCCACTTTCTTTATTTGCTATTTACAAACAACTGATAAGATATCTGTTTGTAGTTTACACACAGCTGATAGGACATGTGCACTGCTGCCTTTCTAGACAGGAAGTACA